CAATGCGAAGACCATGTGAAGGTAGAAATCACTCTGCAAGGTGACAAGCCCAACTCCAGTGCTCTTTCCCAGACTACACTGAAGTCTTTGGTTATCACTAACTCAAACAGTTCTTTAACACTTTAACTGCCAGCTCTTCCAGATTGGCAATAAAATGTCTAGGCCATATCACATATTTCGACTTCCTTCACTAGATAAACAGGACATCCGACTCATAATAACAATTATCCCTTCATTCAGTTGTACATCAGCCTATATACACGTATGTTTCACATAACATAGTCCACATACAAAGATATTTCAAATCAAAAAATGCCAGCAGCAAAAAAATGAAATAAAATTAGTACCGTTTTCTATAAAACTTATTATTAATCAAAGAAAACTTTATCACCGTAAGCATATAACAAAACTTAAACTTGCAATATTTACCGCCCCCTATTTAGTGGTACACTAAATATTACAAAGAATATTGTAACTTCAGCATTTAAGGGCAGCGTTCGGCGTACACCCTTTACTGACACCTACATCTATTTCATTTTCTAGCAAAAGGCACATCTTGCTAATTGGTCTGAGGTACTCTCCACTAGCAGTTTTCAAGCGAGCACTCCTCACGTGACCATCAGCATCACTTATCACTTCCAGCACACGTCCCAAAGGCCATGAACCTCGGGCAGTTTGTTGTCTAGGCTCAGAACAATATCTCCAACCTTCAGGTTACGCTGCTCTCGTGGTCCACTTCTGGCGTTCCTGGAGAAGTGGAAGATATTCCTTTGTCCACCTCTTCCAGAAGAGGTCTGCCAGGTATTGAACTTGCCTCCAACGTCGACGAACATAAAGATCACTATGATCAGTATCCGTTATTGGACCTCCTGCACCTTTCAGGGTTAGCAGCATGTTGGGTGTTAGTGGTTGAGGACCATCAGGATCATCAGTAACCCTGGTTAATGGCCTGCCATTTATGATAGCTTCTACCTCACAGAATAGGGTGTGCAGAGTGTCATCTGTCATGACCTGCTGGTGACACAGGCCACGAGTACTCGTCGAATTGTGCGAATCTGGCGTTCCCATACTCCGCCAAAGTGCGAAGCATGAGGAGGATTGAACTGCCATGTGACACCCTTGAGCAACATGACCTCTGCAATCACAGAGTGCTTCAATTTCTCAAGTTCTTTGCGAAGCTCCTTCTCAGCTCCCACAAGATTTGTCCCATTGTCAGACCGGATGGAGGTGACCGGGCCTCGCCTGGCAATGAACCTTCTAAAAGCATTAATATAGAAATCAGTTTCCATTGACTCCACCACTTCTATGTGGATGGCTCTAGTCACCAAGCAGGTGAATATGACTCCATAACGTTTCAAATTTGACCTGCCTTTCTTAACTAGGAAGGGCCCAAAACAGTCGGTCCCAGTGTGTGTGAAGGGAGGTACATTTGACGTGATGCGGTCTTCGGGTAGATCAGCCATCTCTTGGATCATTGGCCGAGCACTGAGAGATCTGCACCTCACACAATTCCGGATGACAGAGCGTACCACTGCATTGCCATGTATAATCCAGAACCTTTGGCGTAACTCAGCCATAAGATAATTGTGGCCACTGTGTGCTAAGTTATTATGCTTCCACTGCACCATTAATTTCACAGCCATGGATTTACTTGGCAGAATTATTGGATGTTTGACATCAATACTACTAGGAGAGTGGATGAGTCGTCCTCTCACTCTAAGTAGTCCATCCTTCAGGCAAGGCTTTAGCTTAACCAACTTGCTAGAGGACCGTACATGAGCTTCTTCACTGCCTGAGAGTATCTTAATTTCAGCACCAAATGAGTCCTTTTGTACAAGCCTCCAAATGTTGTTCTCAGCTTCATATACTTCTTCAATGCACAAACATTTTCTTGTCATGTCAGCTTCCACTGAAGACTTGAGTCTTTGTGTCAGAGTTCTGTGAAAGCGTCTTAGCCAGGCAATGCAGTGCACAAATGTCATCCAATTCGAGAAGCGACTGGCAATTTCCTCAATGAATGACATTGCTGTGATGACTGTTTCACAGACTAATTGTGGTGGATTTTACTTCTGGGTCGTCCTCTAAGGTTTCCTCTTGACGTCATTTGGTAGTATGGGCCACATTTTCTCATTTTCACTAAGAAAGGTCGGCCCAGTGATCCAGATTGAAGAGGCGAGGAAGCTGTCCATGTCAACTCCTCTTGAAGCTAAATCTGCTGGGTTAGACCGAGTCTCTACATACCTCCAAGCTTCAATAGGTGATAATTCACGAATGAGATTCACCCTATTGGCCACAAATGTTTGATATCTCGCCTTTTCATTAAATAAATACTTCAATACAGAAGTACTGTCAGTCCAGAAGACAGACTTTTCTAATCTCAAGTCCAGTTCTGAGCGTAGCTTCTGATCCATACGTGCTGCTACAGTCGCAGCAGTTAACTCTAATCTTGGAATGGTCATCCTTTTCAATGGAGCTACTCTTGATCTTCCCATTACCAGAGTGCAGTAGACTTCACCAGTGGCACTTTCAAGCCTCAAGTATGAGGCAATACCATATCCAACTTGACTAGCATCTGCAAAATGATGTAATTGACAGGACCTGACAGTGCCAAAGGACATGGGAATAAAACTTCTAGGCACCTTGAAATTTCTCAGCTTGGGAAGTTGATTGAGCCATGCCTTCCATTGTGTCACCTCAGCCGTTTCCATCTCCTGATGATAATGACAAAAATGACAATGCGATTACGAATAAGAATAAGAACATTAATTGTAATAAAGATATTAATTCACAAAGGAAGAGAAATTACAACCCAAAAAATATTAAAAACAACAACAGTAATAATGATAATCATGATGATTACGAAATAATAAAATAATAAAAAGTAATAGTGATGATGATGATGATAAAAATTGTAGTATTTTTATTAAAAATGATTATGTCAATAACCATAATGATAATATTAATAATCATCATGATAGTATCAATAGTAATGGTTATGATACTACTACTATTACTAACAATAATGATAATAACAACAACAACTAGCATGATATTAACAATAATCCTAATAGTAATAATATCAACAATGATAATATCAATAGTAATAATAACAAGAGCATTAACAATCATGCTAATGATAATCAAAATAACAATAACATTGATATTATTAATAATAATAATAGTAATAATAACAGTATTGATGGAAGTGGTAATTTTCTGATATCATTATTTCTTTATTATAACAAGAATACTAATGATAAAATGAATGATTATCATTATTATCATTATTGTTATAATTATCATTCTATTATTATCATCATTATCAATGTTATTATTATTATCACAATTATTATTATTAGCAGTAATACTATTATCATTATTATTACTACTATTATCATCATCATCATCATCATTATTGCTGTCATTATCATTATAATTACATTGTTAAATGTTATGATTGCTGCAATTCTTCTTATCATTATTATCATTATTATTACTACTATAACTATCACCATTACTACTATCACTAATATCATCATTATAACTATTGTTGTTATTATCATTATCATATTATTATTATTGTCATATCATTATCATTATTGTTAGTGTTACCATTATATTAACTATCATTACTATCACTTTCATCATCGCTATCATAATTACTTTTATTATTATCATTATCATTATATATATTGTTTTTGTTATTATTGCTACTATTATTATTATCAATATCATTAGCATTGTAATTATCATCGTTATCATAATTATGATAATTACAATTTTTATTGTTGTTATCATTTATCGTTATACCTCAATTGCTATGATTGCTAGTATTATCATTATTAATAATCATCACTAGCATCATTATCATCAATATTTTTGTTATCAATATTTTCATTACTATTATCATCATTATCACCATGATCATCATCATTATCACCATGATCTTCATCATCATTATCATTATCAATAATATAATATTAAATAATAATCGTGCCATCAGGTAAATCCGCATTCAATATCATAATCCTCTTTCGAAAGATTTGTCTCTCTCTTGAAATCTAAAGTAGAAAAAGTCTTATAACACTGATAACGGTCATCTGCAGATGCTATTTATTAACACACACACACGCGCGCGCGCGCACAGATATCATATTCGCTGTTCTCTGATTGAGACCAAGTTTTAGTGCACGAGTTCACATGGAACTAAACATGATAGTGGAGGGAGTCATACGTTTACATTATAATATATCAAGGAAACTTACTTTGGCTCACGATTATGAATCTCCTAGCAACTGTATGGACTGCAAATGGTGCTAAAATGTGTTATACAAGTAGACTTAAAGGGAAATTAAAGTAAGAACAGGCACGTTATTCATATTGCTATGTGATATCATGCCTGAAGTTGTTCACACATGCAAAGTATAAAAAATATATTAAAGAAACTACATCAGCAAATATAACAGACAAAAAAAAAAAAAAAAAAAAAAGGGGGTACACAAGAAGGAAATCAATAAATACAAGACAGAAAAATTCAATAAAAATGGTAGGCGAGAAACAAATCAAATTGAGTGAATGCAAGGAGAGAGCGAGCGAGGGAATACAGTACGAGAGAGAGAGAAACACAAGACGAGGGGGAGTAAACAAACAAGAGGTGCAAAGCGAGAGCACACATAAGCCCACACGTCCAGACATACACGTCGGCGTCAGAGAGCTACGGAAGAGGCCGGATAAACGAGGCAGTACATCACGACGTCCGGCGAGGAACAACCTTGAACGTCAGTTAATGGCAAAACCACCGGAGGCATAAGTCAAACTGAGCGCGGTTCTGACGTCATGGTTGCTTTGAGAAATGAAAATGTGTTGCTTTTTAAAGGGATTTCTTCGCCATCATCTTAGTTTTCTTCTCTTTCGTAGCATTTCAGCGGAATTAGCGTTTCGGGGAAAAACTAAAGTAAAAGAAATTGTCATCCTATTTCGGTATATTTATTTTAAAAAAAGTATGAAAAGAAGATGAAGGGATAACAAGGCTTTGCTGTCGTCATATTTAGTCCAATTTCTTTTATTTCGTGCGCTTTGGTATAATTGCCTTGGATAAAGAACAGACTAACGAGAGTTCCGGCGCTGTGATCTACTTTGCACGAATTATTATTTTTTCTTTATAAGATGGCGCGTGAAAACTTCATAACATGTAGGATCTTGAGATTTTGAGAGTAACTACTTAAAAGAAAAATACTAAACTACCAATTAACAGGATTTCGGATAATCATTTATAACACACACATACAAACGGATAACTAAAACATGTAGTATTGGTATATCAGACTTCGTCACTTGAGTGATATCAAATATCTAGCCTGTTAAGCACATACGTTTTATTTAGTCATTTCATGAGCCCGGTAAAATGTTTTGTCATTCAAAATGTGCATTTCCATATACGCAAAACCACAAAAACATTACCGCTTCTAGAATTACCAATTCCTGCATATTGCAGCAACATACGCAGTGAATTCCTGGCCAATGGCGGCAACGGTCAGGTGGTTAAGACACACATCAACACATTCGGAGCCTTGTCACTCTCTTTGAAGCCTGGTGCAGTCAGAATCAGATCGCTTGATTAATTCAAGTATATGCTTGTGGGATTTTGCCTTTTGTACACATAATATCTATGTGATTGCATATATATTTTTCAAACAAAGCCCTTGAATATGCGATACATATTATCATTAGCACTGTCACCATTATCTTTATTTTACGATCTTTATCAGTATGATAACCACTCATATTCATCGCTGTTTTCCAGCAAACATCATCGTAGCCACTCAATAAAGGTCGAGTTCCATTGACACTTTCCTTAAAAAAGAAAGAGAAAAGAAATATCAGCATAAACCAGTGCCGGTGTGAAGCGTAGATCACAATTTCTTCCTTTTATTATTATCATCATAATAATAATAATGATAATAATAATAATGATAACCATAATACTAATAATACTGATAATAATAATAATGATAATAATAATAATAATAATATAATTATCATTATCATTATTATTACTATTATTATTATTATTATTATTATCATTATCATTATTATTATTATTAGTAGTAGTAGTAGTAGTAGCAGTAGTAGTAGTAGTAGTAGTATCATCATTATTAGTATTAGTATCATCATCAACATCCTTGTCCTCCTCCTCCTCATCGTCCTCGTCCTCTTCATCATCATCACTGATGATGCTTTTGGGAATATCCTAAAGTATTGGAGACCGAACCATATGTGTCGTTTTCTTAGAGACTCTGCGAGCAGCTCCTTTCGCTTTTATGAAATAGTCACACATTTCGGTAACATGTACGGATATTATCAGGGTGTTTGGTGACTCATTGGTATTGATCGACCAGAATTACGGTAAAGAAACGGTATCATTAGCATGTTCGTCAGAAAAAGATTCATTGTAGCGTAAATGATTGATTTTTTTGTGTGAATATACAACTAAGCCAGTACTAAAAAAATCCAGACGGTAAAAAACGGAACCTTTTGAAATTCGTTATAACAACATCTCTGTAGAATTTCCACAGCTGTGGAGGAAACAGTTCTGCGGTTAACAATGACGAGCCTGAGGCCAGATATCTTATAAAAGCAAGAATCCATACTCCAAAAGAAAGCCGGCCAATCTGTACGAGAAACTGAAATGGAATATGGCTGAATTCAAAATACACGTTTTTTCGCCCAAGAAAGGTACTTCATAGTTTGCTCTTCTATCTTTGTCGATGTTTATTCATGCCAGTGCTGTTTCCCCTCCTTCGGTCTTATGTCTGACCGCCTCTTCCCCTTCCTCTTCTTCTGTCGTTCTCTGGCTGTATGTTTCTATTACCCGCCTCTCCTGCTCTTTGTCTCTCCTTAAGCAGACAGACCGTGATAGATAGATAGATATATGTAGAGTATGGGTTCCCAAACTAGGGACCATAACTTTGTTACGTCGAATTATGCTGAATTTTATCTCACCTACAGTACCTACATATAATTATCTCATATATCAATGAAATGGAACCTTTCCATAAAGTGTTCTTGTCTTATAGCTACTGGCATCATCGCATTATCCATAACTAGTAAAAACTGAATCCGGAGAGGTAACAGTCCTTGAACGGGGGGGCCATGGAGATTACCATATATTAAGGAACTACTAATGTAGAGGGACAAACAAACAAAGAAACAGACAAATAATTCAACTGCAAATCTAACAGATAAAATGACAGAACATAGAAGAAAACATCCGTGATCTGTGTGTAGATATAGGTATGTTTAAAGTCCGATACATGTTTATTTATTCTTTCTTCAGTATCATGTCGTACGCTTATATTTTCTTCAGAAAATTAGATATCCATTCCCCGTCTTCCCTACAACAAATAATCGTGACTGGCATTCAAAGGCGAGGAAATTTACTGACACGCTGGAAGACGGAATTCTTCCAACAACTACAATGAATTCCACGCCCACGCCCACTTCGACGAAATCCCGCTTGTAACTTCACGCTGGATTTTCCAGCCTCTGTCAGAGAAGTGTGATGGCGTCCATCCGCAGGATCAATGTTGTTGTCGGCTGCCCCATCGCGGCCGGAGATGGCAGACTTGTCAGCTGCCTTCAAGGGGCAGCGGGATCAGAGCGACCGAGGGGTATGCAGTTCCGCTGGCCGGCGCCAAGTAGCCCTGCT